AAGGCTCTTGGGGGAGAATCTGTTTCATGCCTTTCTCTTAGCTTCTGGTGTCATGTCGGTGGTCCTTGGCTTGCAGCTGTGTAACTCTATGTTGTCATATGGGCATCTCACTGTGTCTTCAGTGTCTTCTTATTTATACATCAGTCATATTGAGTTAAAGGCCCACCCTACTCTAGTAAGTTAAGACCTTATCTCAACTATTTCTGCAAGGACCTGTTTCCAAATAGGGTTTCATCCTGAGGTATTGGGGGTTAGAGCTTCAACATATCTTTTTGGGTGACATAATTCAACCTATAACAGTTCTACACATCATGTAAGTACTCATTTTAATTTCCTCATTGCTTCTATTTCACAGATGACTCTCTGGTGTTTTTCTGGTGCACAGCTTATCATCTGCAAATAATGAAAATGATGTCTCTTTTCCAATATTTATTTCTCATTTCATCTTCTTATCTAAGCTCATTGGCTAGTAGTTTATCACACCTAGACAAGAGGTATTCATTATCCTTAAAAAGTTTATTGTTTTTAAAATCTGAGTATGATTACTACTGGAGTGGAACATTTGAAAATACCATCCACTTGTCTTTCTTCTTCCGTGAACTATGTGTTTCTATCCTTTGTTTACTTTTTATACTGAAGGTTTTTAATTTGAAAGAGCTCTTGCGCATTGAAAATCTTAACTTCTTGTGACATATTAAAAATATTTTCCTCCAAGATTTTAAAAGCACCTTGTCAACTATCCAGCAGCCAACAAAAAGCACAAAATAAAAGGTACAGATCTACTGTAACATAGATTAATTATACCTTTCTGTGCAACAGTCCAATACATGAGCAAATCCCTCTCATATTGTAGGAGTAGTAAGATGAATAGTGGAGAGCAATGTAGATTTTTATGAAGCACTCTTGAAAATTTCAAGTACAATAATGCTTATAACTTGTCTCATAGTATAGCATTTCTAAACCATTCAATTTCTTTCCAGCTATAGCACTCAAAGAGGCTTCAGGGACTAAATGATCTGATTAACCCTTTAATACCAAATGCCTCAACAGCTCTGGCTCCCATGTACTCATCAAGTTTACACTGACATTTAAAGGCCTTAAAGCCATCAAAGAAAGAATTAATCTGTCCTTGGTTTGTCTAAATGACCAAATAATAAGATTTAAGTGATGACTAGCTGTAGGATATGTCCTTATTAAATTTGATAGGATTTTTAAAAAGCCAAGTAATGTAATGAAGTTTGCAAAGTGATTTAGATTAAACAGGTTTGACTGCTCAATTTGGAAGTGATTCAGGGCACAGGTACAGGTATAAAGGCAATTTTAAAATATTAGGCTTTGAATGTTGCTGACCAGAAAGTTGAGAAATGTTAAATGAACATTACAATATATTGCTTTAGCTAGTTTTCATTACTCATAAAATAAACGTGTGCTTATTTTAGCAGTGTGCCTTTTCTCGCCTCCTCACAAGTTTCATTCCCTGCAAAGAACTACTTACATAACTTAACATGGCACAAAACATGAGAAAGGAAAGGCAATCTAGTTCTTGGGATGTTGATGTTCATCCAGAAATATAAATGTCCCAAAAGCACAGTCAGAAAGTCCCTGTCCAGGATCGCTGAGGGAGTATTTTGATTTACTAGGACTGATTTGCCCATAGGCCAAGGATGTATAAATAAAGATGTTAGGACTTGGGGATATTCTTAATGGCATTAAAACAAGCCTGGATTTGGTTGCTTTACTGATTCCATACTTCATATTTTTATTTCTTTATCCTATGCATATTCTTACTTAGAAATGATGTGACATTTGCTATACAGAAAAATACAGATGTTAGGTTTACTACTTGTAAACGTCACTTGTATGCCTTTGTTTTGCCTGTGTTCCCTATGGAAGCCTTCGTATTTGTCTGTGCAAGGACTCGGGATATACAGTACTACAAATGATAAGTGGTTACACTTTACCATGACATTTTATACCTGCAATGTGTAGGACTTTGCACATGTTCACTGAGACAACTGATCTGATACCTAAGAAGTTTATATGTGTGTGTGCGTAAAATTTTCACAAATAGAATAATTTTACATGGTACTGTATTTGGGTAGTGTTTTTCACCACCCAATAGCAGGTAGGAATTGTACATAGTATGAACACATACTGTATATATACACACACATTCATATATATGCCCTGGTTCACAATGTAAAGTGTGTTTCTTATTGTGGTTTGCAGTCAAAGCAGTGGGAAGGGCACTGTATTAAACATGTTTGCAATGTGATGGAATCCTTGGCATTCTTTCTCTCATTCCAGAGGTCAAAGATGTTCTTGCTTTTCATTCAACCTACACATGTTTACTAGACAACTACTATATGTTCATTGAGGCCTCAGGTGTTGGGGCAGGAAGAAAAAGAGGCAAAACTACTTGGTAATTTCTAACTATTATTATACAGATATAAGTGTTTAAATAAAACTTAAAAACAAGATGCTGAATTGATTACAGCTGCTCTTATTTTAATATCCTTATGGATGGCCATGAAAACCTAAATGGAATGTACGAAAAATTCCCAGACATAAAGCCTTCACAGGTTGTTAAGCCTCTTGTGCTTCTTACTGGTACTTGGAGAGTGATCCAGTATAAAATCTATATTTGAGAGAGGAATTCTCTAAAGATTTTTCTTTCTTTCTCGCTCTCTCTCTCTCTCTCAAGATTTCTCTTTCTCTTTACAGGCACATGCCTCCACGCCCGGCTAATTTTTGTATTTTTAGTAGAGATGGGGTTTCACCATGTTGGCCAGCTGCTCACGAACTCCTGACCTCAGGTGATCCGCCTGCCTCGGCCTCCCAAAGTGCTAGGATTACAGACGTGAGCCACCGCGCCCAGCCAATAAAGATGTATTTTTTTGCATTTACCTCAATATTGAGTTCTTCTTTTCTAGGCCTTTTGGCAACAAAGTAAATTTTTGGTAACCAAGATTTGGGTCCTTGCTGCAAAACTTATACATATGAGTCTATATCTATATATATCTCAGTGTTCTGTTCTCTTTAAGCTTTAATTGATCAATAAACCATTTGCCATGGAAATATGTGTGTGTGTGTGTGTGTGTACACACCAAAATAGTTTCTTTAAATGAAATACTACTTGGAAAACTAAATATTAGTGCCTCACCCCCACCTCACCCCACACCCCTTCCCAAACCAATCTATTGCTGTGGTGCTTGACGGCAATCACAAAATAATCTAATTCTTATTCAAATATCTAACACTAAACCTTAATCTCAACTTTTACACTATAATTACAGTTGCTTTTGATTTTCTCATCTTTTCCTTTTCCCATCTCAAATATTTTTAAAATGCCATGTAATACGTTTTGAGATGACATTCCAATTTAGAAATGCTTCTGATACGTTATTCTCTTAAGAAGTGATTTTTGACACATGTAAATAAGTTTACTTTATGAGTGATATAATCTATGCTTTATAACAACAGAACCTTTAGAAATAACTTAGAAAAAAATTATTTCTCTCTTTTCTAATTTTTGGAGAGATTCAATAATTAAGTCATGATTTCTAGTGATTGTCTGGAACTTCCAAAATAATATCAACCATACTACCACTATAAGTACTATACATTAAATAATATAAGTATTTAATGCAGCAAAAACTCAAGTTTTATTTTTTTCCAATTTTGACTGTTAAAGTTTAAATGCTATATATAGATATTTGGTTCCTTATATCAACGCCCATTAGGCTGATGGTAAGACTCACACACATTTTCTGGAAATATAAAAAATCTAAATGAGTTGTCATGTATTTTTGGAAAATAAACTCAAATGATTGGGTAACAGGGTCACAATTGTACAGAAAAAATCTTTCTGACAAAATGGTACTTTTCCCCCCGACTCAATCTAGATAATCAAGATTGGGCTACAGCCAAAGTATGCTGGAGCTGGCCCAAATTTTCATAACTCTGTGTTCAATGATGTCATATTATTAGTAGTTTGAAATTGGTCACAGTAGGAGTATTTATACCACAGAAATCAGCAAAATCTACCAATCACAGGTTCCCCTCCGATTCTGAAGAGTCTTTAAATATTTGCCAAGCACTTCACTAGCAACAGCCATTATTGTTTTAAAAGACCATTCAACCCTTCCTTGTTCATAAGAATCTTATTTGAAGATCTAAATGGTTGGGTGTTTTTTGTGTGAATCTGTCCTGGAAAAATATTTAAATGTTTCTCATTCATTTACAGTAATGGAAATGTTAGGCTTTCACTGTGAAGGCCTTATGTGAGGCTTATCCAAAGACAGTTCTTTCTTTTGTATCAGTTGTACTCCATTCCAAATAAACTGCTTAAAATGCAATCTTTTAGAGACAGGGTCTTGCTATGTTGCCTAGGCTGGAGTACAATGGCATAATCATACCTTACTACATCCTCACACTACTGGGCTCAAGTAATCCTTCCACCTCCGCCTCCCCAGTAGCTGGGAATACAGGCATGCACCACTACACCTGGCTAAAATCTGGATTCTTATCTGAAAAAATGGTATCCTATTTTTTTTTTTTTTTTTTTTTTTTTTTTTGAGACGGAGTTTCGCTCTTGTTACCCAGGCTGGAGTGCAATGGCGCGATCTCGGCTCACCGCAACCTCCGCCTCCTGGGTTCAGGCAATTCTCCTGCCTCAGCCTCCTGAGTAGCTGGGATTACAGGCACGTGCCACCATGCCCAGCTAATTTTTTGTATTTTTAGTAGAGACGGGGTTTCACCGTGTTGACCAGGATGGTCTCGATCTCTTGACCTCGTGATCCACCCGCCTCGGCCTCCCAAAGTGCTGGGATTACAGGCTTGAGCCACCGCGCCCGGCCCTGGTATCCTATTTTTAAAACTCAATCCATGCTTATGAAGCAAAATACATAGACTTCGAATAGAACCTAACAGATTATAGTTCTCTGTCATAAACTCTATGTGGTTTAATGATAAAAGGGTAATTTAAAAATTTTATAAAGTATGAAATAAACAATTTTACTAGATACACTCATTTATTTGACATATTGAATTAGACAAAGAAATATGTATGTAACCAGAGAAAAACAATCACATTCTCATACTACTTTAACACACAGCAGTGGTTAAAAATAATGAATTGTAAAATGAACCCCAGGATTTAATGTAAAAACCACCCCATACAAGAAAAGTTTCAGGCTTCTAACTTCATTGAATCCAGTACTAAACGTGCTTCTTTATATTCCTCAGCTTCTTCCAAGTCTTTTTCATTCTCCTAAAATGAAATATAATAAAATTAAGTTTATCCTTTTCAAAGTTTAGTACTTTGTTATTTACTCAAAATTACAAACCATTAATGTAAATCACTAAAAAATTAAAAGTAAAAATCCCAAGCCCCATCTAAATATATCGTAATTCCACAGGTTTCCCACATTCTGCTTCTTCTTTACAAGGAAAGGAAGAAATAACTGGTGGTTTTGTTTCACTGTATATATTCTCATATAGTAAGTGAATAACACAGTCATCTAAAGCTATCAGCATTAAGTAAATTACATAAAAAACCTCAGAAAAGTTCATTCTCATTTTGTTGACCCATCATTATCATACAAAAGAGAAAAGTATAAAAGGAAAATTTACTAACATGTTACATATATGAAACAGCATTCAGGCCAAAATAATCCTCCAACTATTCACAATGACAAAGAAGGCTTCCAATGTCACAACAGAGTTAAATATAATCTTTGAATTAAACAAATGAATTGCCTGCTTGCTAATGGGTATATACCTTACACTAAATGAAATAGAATACATCGTTTATTTTCTGATATTTAAAGATTGAGTTTTTCCATAATAATGATATACAGGAAACTTTTACTAATATATTGTATTGATAATAGACAAATGAAATAACATAATCTGAATTTCTCTACATAGGAAATTTTGTTTGATTTTTAAATGAAGCTATGGTTAGCGATTTATGTCAGGTCAACAAAAGATGGATATATACAGAGAGTAGACAAAATAAAGTACGTGTGAATTTAATATGAAAACTTAAAGCAAAAGGATTGAGAATTTGCTTAGCTCAAACTATAGGTAAGAATTTCTTAAAACCTCTGCATTACACCTTAAAAACATCTTTGTTTTCTGTTAGTAAATATAAGCTCTTCAAGGGTAGAGATACTGTTCCTCACACACAAATATATCATCCAAAACCATTATTTTTTTCAAGCAATTTCTATTACTTTCTCAACTACTAAATTCATGAGAGAAAAAAGCATTTAAACTGTCAAGAAATACAAATGGTGATTCCTGTCTTAGACAGTATTTTAACAGTTATTATTTCCTGCTTTATCTACCTTCTGTATCACAAGGCATTTATACCAGCAAGTATAAGTGTTATCCAACTCCAAGTTAATATGAGGGGACTACCTAAACTACCAGGTTTTTCCCCCTCTCTCAAATTGATTTAGGTTTGAATGTGAAATAATTTCAGATCCTTTTAATAAGAGCCCAAATTCTTTTGAAACATTAGTTCTTTTAAAACTTCAGTCAGTCAACTCATCCTCAATGTGTCAAAAGATAGTTATGTATGAAAATCAAATAATCAAGACATTGCTGGACAATACTGGTACTATCATAACTTAAATATAACTAGCTAAATTTTAGTAAATTGAAGAAGCATGGCAGAAAATAGTACTTTTACAGGAACATAACTCAAAACACAATTTTTAAATTAATGGTGTTTACACCATTAATTATTTTAAAATATAGTAGCATAAAGGGCAAGTGAATAAGAAATACCACCACTATCCCATTACTGGGTATATATCCAAAGGATTACAAATTGTTCTACTATAAGGACACGTGCACACGAATGTTCATTGCAGCACTGTTTACAATAGCAAAGACCTGGAACCAACCCAAATGCCCATCAACGATGGACTGGACAGGGAAAATGTGGCACATATACACCATGGAATATTATGCAGCCATCAAAAACGATGAGTTTGTGTCCTTTGTAGGGAGATGGATGAACCTGGAAACCATAATTCTCAGCAAACTGACAGAAGAGCAGAAGATCAAACACCGCATGTTCTCACTCATAGGCGGGTGTTGAACAATGAGAACACATGGACACAGGGAGGGGAGCACTACACACTGGGGTCAGTTGGGGGGAAATAGTGGAGGGACGGTGAGGGGTGGGGAGCTGGGGAGAGATAGCAAGGGGAGAAATGCCAGATGTAGGTGATGGGGAGGAAGGCAGCAAATCACACTGCCACGTGTGTACCTATGCAACAATTTTGCATGTTCTTCACATGTACCCCAAAACCTAAAATGCAATAAAATAAATAAATCGGGAAAACAAACAAACAAAAAAAAAGAAACACCACCACTAATTCTCAGTGTTAAATATTTAAACTTTTGGCTTTCCATGTATTGGATTGAAAAAAAAGTTTTTAAATATAAGACACAGAAGTCTTTACTTACTAATATCTGTTGAAGATCCAAATATGCAGCTTCCAACCTGCGCTGGCAATCTGGGATCATCATCCGGGATTCTTGTAGGATCTCCACCTAGAATGAGAATCTCTGTGAGATATTCAGAGATGGCAGAACTTGTATGTGTTTAGATCATACTTTGGTAAATATATACTTATTATGAAGAATCAGAAAAAAGTTATGGTTATGTTAAATGGTTCAATATTTTAACTTAAATTGTGTTTATTAGAAGTTAGAAAGAAAGACCATCATACCGTAAAACCTACAAAGTACAAGTTTCAGAACTAAATCTTTTTGGTAATCACCTTCTCATGCTAAGTGAAAGTTAACTGGAAAAGCTTTTCATAGAGCATTTATTTTAAAAGGCTATTTAAAATAAACTATTTCCCCCTACTGTCACAAAGAACCTTTATCCAAAATGGGATCAGCTGGTTACATAAATATCTCCTGCATCTCTTGAGTAATAAAGAAAAACAGTGTTCAGATAATATCACATGGAGATAATTACTGCATGAAAAAAGTTATTGAGTTATTGATCACATTGTGTGCACACTGCAGGAGGTTCACACTGAAAGAGAGAGGTAAAGAAAAATGAAAAGCAAAGACCAGCAGGTTCATATTTTTGATGCTTATCATGCATAAAAAGTTATTACTTATCCTTGTGCTTCATTTTAGGAAGAGATTATTCTCCCCATGCAATGTGAGCCAAATTACCAATGTGGCACCCCTCGGAATCTAAACTTCTTGCCTATTCCTCGTCATGACAGGCACTACAGAATTAAACAAAGAAATATGTATTCTAGAGGAAATTTCTGGACATAAAATCCATCATTCAAAACTGGACTACAACAAATCAAATCATAAAAGAAAAAAATCAAATCAATGACAGGGAAACCCAATTGATAAGAGTACACAGGTTAGTGCCACATGTTGGACTTCAAATAGGGCTTTTACTTAGGGTAGTAGGAAGCTTTATTTCCTCAAACTATTCTCAGAAAGAAACAGAGATCATCTAAACACTCATGTCCAAAAAATAATGTATGGTCAAATACCTTCAAAGAAACGGGTAGAAAATGTGAGCTTTTTGCTGAGGAGATTATCAAGCTCATATAAAATAAAAAGGAATGATATAATTTAATGGTAATAATATTGTATTTTAATAGAAACTTTAAGTCCCAGTACCTTCTTCCTTTCTCCAATAATTTTGTCATAGCTCATATTGAAAACAAAAATCTGAATTATAACATACAAAGAAGTTCTTTATTCACATCTATTTTCTCAGGTGGAGATCTATTGCTGAACTTAAACATCATTTACTAATAAGGCACATGTTGAAAATTTCAAACATAACATCATGACTTCACTTCAGAGCTAATCATACTATTAATCACTGCCATTAAATTACTTTTGTGTATCTGGTTAGTTTGAATATATGTGAAAAACCAGTGATAGGAACATTTCATATTGGATTATTCATATTTCCTTTCCTATGGAATTCCCTTCAGAATTGTTACAGGAATTAAATAAGATGAAATAAATATAAAGAAGTAGGTCAAATCCATGACAAGTCAAAAAATATATTTGTAAAAAAAATTTTTTTATCCTTTAGCCACCAAAAAAACCTTTAAACAATGCCATCCAAAATAACTTCTATTCATTATAATTCTGTCTATTATTACAGATCAAGAATCCTCAGTCTATCAGAACAGGACTCTGACTTACATAGGGCCAAAGCTCAAGCTCTCCCATATACTACCCCAATTCACTGTATACGTTTACTTATGTCCTCTAGATGCCAGGTACTGGGGATACAAAAATGAAAAAGAAAAGGTCTCTGTCCTCCAATCCATAAGTCTAGGTGTATTAATATGAAAACAAACATTTGAGATTGCTTCAAGAAGATCATGACACAGAGAGCCAAAGAGACACAGTGATGACTATGACAAGGAAGAATAGAAATTAATAAAGAGAGGGTAGGTAAGGCCAGGAGTAAGGGCATACCAGACATGGAAAATTTCAGAGGCAAAGAAGAAAGGGCATGTTAAGGTAGCTAAAAGGCACCTAAGAGGTCCAGATAGGGATTGGCAAGAAATGAGGTTAAATAAGCAGATGTCAAAATCAAGAAAACCCTTCTACGCAATGTTAAGGCCACTGAAATCTATCATGCAGACAATCAGAAGTGCCACTGAAAAGTGTAACACATATTTTATTTTGGTGGTCTTCACGAGTTTGGAGAAAATATTTGTGAATTTAAATATATAAGTAATATAAGATTAGTCCATTTTTATATTTGATACTTAAAATTGGAAAGGTAGTAGAGTTTAGTGGTTAAGAGTACAGATACTAGAGCCAGAATGCCTGTGTTCAAATCTTAGCTATGCCAGGTGCAGTGGCTCATGCCTATAATCCCAGCACTTTGGAAGGCTGAGGTGAGGGGATCACTTTAGCCCAGAGGTTAAGGCTGCAGTGAGCCATGATCATACCACTGCACTCCAGTCTGGAGACAGAGTGAGACCCTGTCTCAAACAAAACAAAACCACAGCTATGTCACTTAGCAATTTTGTGATTTGGGCACTTATTTAACCTGAGTTTGAGTTTCCTTATCTTTAAATGGAAGTTTTAATAGTAAAAAAGTAAATAATAATATCATCTCAGTCAGAGGACTACTTTAAAAACTACATTAGTTAATATAGCATTCTGTAAATGTTAGCTCTTGTTATTTATAATTTTACCTGCTTTTTAATGTCATAATTTTCACCATCTTCAGCTCTCATTTTTTCAATCTTTTCTTCTTGTTGTTTTGCTTCTTTTTCATACATCACTTTTTCTTTGACTAACCTATAAAAAAGCCAAAAATGTTTCAGAAAATTAGCTTTCTCTCTAGACCATAAGTAACAAAGAAGCTGTATAAATATAAAACATATTATATTTAAAATACCAAAGTAGATATACTAGATGCGGGGGGAGAACAGAAGAAAAAGAGTTTAGTCATAGATATAGGTATGATACTCATGCTCTTAATTAAGTTCTATACCTGCCTAACATAAGTACAATCTATCAAAGCGTGAAATTCTTAATTTTTAAATTAAAAACTCACTTCGCTATATAATTACAATGTGAAAGCGATACTCAAAAATTAGTATATACTAATACAACTGTCTCTCTCTCTTTTTTTTTTTTTTTTTTAATATGTCTTCCAAAAATGTATCTGAAACAGCATAATGGTAAAAGCTCAGTTTACTAGCAGGGAAAAATTCAGTAGATAGCATGTCAAATCCAAAACAAAGAAAGACTGGATTACTTTTAACAACAAAATTGTTTAACAAGTATTTATTTGCACTTAATTTTATGCCTGACTTTCCGTGTGCAAGGAGCTGGGATAGATAACTTAGACGTGGTTCTCTCATAGACAAGTGGTGGAAACAAACTAGTATTTACTTACTAAAGTAAGAAAAAGTATTGAAAAAGAAAGTACATTGGGAAAAGTTTCAACAATATGAAATACTGCAATGCAAAATTCTGATTATCCTTTAGATAATCCAAATTAAATTAACCATAATAGTTTAATCTCCCCTAATTCTGGTTTATTAAAGTTTTAATATAAAAGAATAGCCCAAGAAAATATTAACATTCCTACATACACAGTATCTAAAGAGTAGAAGAAAAAGCTTTCATAGCCCATATGCATTAAAAATAGCTTATTCCATCTGGCTGTTGGCAAGATGGCAAGGATGAAGACTAGTTGGAACCACCAAATATTGCTGATGGTAATCAAAACTGGTGTAGCAGCTTTAGAAAAGTTTTGACTATTCCTCAAAAAGTTAAATAGTGTAGCCATATGTCCTGACAATTCCATTTCTAGGTATATACCCCAGAAAAATGAAAATATATGCCCATAGAAAACATGTTTATGAATGTTTACAGCAACATTATGCATGACAGGCAAAATGTGGAAGTCCAATAACCAATGGAAAATGTGGTATATCCATAAAATGGAATACTGGGCAATTAAAAAAAAAAATGAAGTGCTGATTCAAGCTACAACATGGATGAAGCCTGAATACATGCTAAGTAAAAAAGAAGCCTGACATAAAAGGCTACATATTATGTGATTTTATTATAGGACATATCCAGAACAGGCAAATCTATAGACATGTAAAGCAGATTAGTGGCTACCTAGGACTGGGGACAACAGGGGAATTGGAAGGGTGATAACTAAAGGGCATAAGGTTTCTTTTGGGGTTAAGGAACATGTTCTAAAAATGACTGTGGTGACAGTTGTACAACTCTGTGAATATGCTAAAAGCCAATAAATTGTAGATTTAAAATGGGTTAATTGTATGGTATGTGAATTATATCTCAATAAAGCTGTTGACAAAAAGGGGAAAAAAAGCTGTGACCACAAAGTCAACTTCAGGGGAAAGCTGCAAGTACTGATCCATTCAAGCATGACAAATGAAACATGTGAATGTCAGATACAGAAATCTGCATTTGATTTATAATTTAAAACTTTTAATAATAATTTTCAATATTAAAATATCACTTGAGATACAAAATTTTTAAAAAAAATCATTAATGCATATCACTAAAGATACTTCTCTAAAAGTTCCCTTTAAATAGTAAAAGAAACTTGTTAGGGCAGAGATGGCAAACTGCCAGGCTGCTTAAATGAAACCTAAACATGATTTTATTTGACTCACAATGTTAAAAAGAAAGAATATTTTTTAAAAAACTGTGTTGTCACATTAAAAAGCTGGGAGATTTGACATATACATCTGAATTTCTGGCTTCTCTTGGATGTTTTCATCAGGAAACATGAGGGTTGTATTCCCACTACTTGAGGAAGCTAAGTGGTGGCTGTTATCTCTTGTAGAAGACGTGCTATTCCTTTGCCCCAATTCACATAACCCCCTGTTTCTTTAACAGTCAGGCATTACACTTGGTCTTTGTAAGCCTCTGAGTTTGGGACCTGTGAGCATATGCAACAGTATTACTATTGTTGTTTTATTATTATTATTATTATATAATCATGATTATTACTCAGAATATCAAGAATATTCAGAAACTACTGGATTAGCAATGAGACTTTCAATACTTCTAAACCTGGTAAGTTACTAAACTCCCCTAGTAATGAAAGTAGCTGGAATTGGATAGGCTATCAAAGAGAGGCCCATTCCATAACATCTTATATTCAAAGACTTAAACAGGGGTAACAGATTTGGTAGGAAGCCAAATCTGTTCTGTAATCTGCTTTTGTATAGTCTGAGAGCTATGAACAGTTTTTACATTTTTGAATGGTTAAAACTTTTGAAAAATAATTGTCATGAAAATATGGAATTCAAAGTTAATATTCATAAATAAAATTTTATTGGAACACATATATATAATCTATGGCTGCTTTCATGCAACAAGAGCAGAGAAAAGTAGTTGTGATAGAACTATATGGCCTCCAAAACCTAAAATATAGTATCTGGTCCTTTACAAAAAAGGGTTGCCGATACCTGACTTGAAAGACTTCCACTTAATTAATTCTGTCCAACACCTACTTAACTATATTAGCATCAACACACTACACTGAAGCCATTTACTTGCTAGGTCTTAAGTTCCTTGAAGAGAGGACTAGGTTGTAGTCATATGGTATAATTGATCTTCTTACATAGTAGGCACTCAATGTTGCCTGAATGAATAAAAAGTTGAGTCTAGAAATCTCACTGTTGCCTTTCAATATTTTTGATTTAAAGATAGAAATATATATTTATAAAACAATTCTGAAGCAGAAAAAAGTGATTCACAAAAATTGAGCAATAAGAACAACATGGTGACTTCTGAAGAAGTATACAACAGAAGAGGAGGATTCTATGCCCAGGCCCACAGATAATTCTGATAATCCAAGTCATCCTACTTCATTGTGCTTGTCTATGAAAAACAGCAGCAATGGCTCCAGCAACACTAAAGAGTTACTTAACTACCTATCACATGAGATAAGTAAAGGTACTGCCTATTTGCATGGTTATTGACATATCAAAATAAATACAAATTACGTTTTTGCTTAAAAAGTTGTATTTTGTGAAATGGCCCAGCACACAAAGTTATTGAATAGCATGTATTGCCCTGAAAAAGAAAAAAAAAATCACTCATTTAGTGAGAACCCAGTAATGCCAGCATGTAAAACTATAGTGAATAAAGGCTAGGGTAAAATGTGGTATGAGAAATAATAAAGGTTCCACTGTTATACAATACAAATCAATGTACTGATGACAAGTTAGATGATGCTGAAGAGGTTTTATAAAGTATATATATAACTTGAATTTCAGTAAATATCATCAAATTGCTTTCCAAGTAGTTTCATCAGTTGATATTCAACCTGTAGTATATGAAATTTCCTACTTGTTGGCATCCCGGTGAACTGAGATTGTCAGAATTATTAAACTTCTGACAATCAGAAGAGTGTGAAATAGTATTTCTATTATGGTTTGAAATATTTCTCTAATAAGGTTGAGCATCTTTATACTTATTAAAATAGTAGTTATTGGATAAATATTTGTTGAATCAACGAATTAATAATTTCTGGTGAATTTGGCTCTTTTCTCATGTGTAGGAAAGCCTAAGATTTAACAAGAAAATGAAAGACAAGTATGTATTTTAAAATTTATAACTAAGATATTTTTCTATAATGTACATATGTACATATTTATAAAAATAAAAAATTATAAAAACCAGTATTTCAAAAATCACTCCTAATCACTACCAATTCAAAATATACATAATTCTGAAACCCAAAAGGTTTTTTAAAAAATAACATTGTTTTATTACTAGACACAACTCATTTAGCAGCGAAGTGTGACCTCAAATGAGGTAACATGATTTACAGAATTTATGTGTACCATTTAATGCGAATAGTCATGTTTCAATGCAGAAATATTACTGTGTATGATTATAGAGAACTTTTCTAGATGCTATTATGGAAATATATATTAATTCTATAAAATTCAAAAAATCACAAACACACATGGGCCCAAGGGTTTTCAAAATAAGGGATTATGGACCTGTATTAACATTTTGTGTATTGTCCACTAGTCTTTTTCTCTTAACATGTGTGTGTGAAAATTTACATTTAGATATATAAAAAAATAATTTGGGCCAGGTGCAGTGGCTCACACCTGTAATCCCAACACTTTGGGAGGCTGAGGCAGGAGGATCACTTGAGGCCAGGAGTCTGAGACCAACCTGGGCAACATGGTAAGATTTCATCTCTACAAAAAGCTTTTTAAAATTAGCCAGGCATGGTGGCATGGACCTGTAGCTCCAGCTACTCAGGAGTCTGAAGTGGGAGGATCCCTAGAGCCTAGGGAGTCAAGGATGCAATAAGCTATAAGTGTGCCAATGCATTCCAGCCCAAATAACAGAGCAAGACTGTCTCAAAAAGTATATAATAATATTAATAATTAACAATAATTTGGATAATAAATCACTTCCAATGTCATTCAATGTTCTTTGAAAATATAGCTGTTAGTGACTGCATTTCACAGCACTAAGATGACAGCATATTGAAGCATTATTCTGTTGGATATTTAACTCATTCCCATATTATAAATAATACTGTGATGAACACTCCTACCTATAAATTTTATAGACATGAAATATTTTCTTCCTAAAAATTTTTTTAAATACATAGTGCATAACAGTGAAATAGCATAGTGAAATTAGACTACCTCCTTTTCCCATCAACCAGTGATCATTTCCTAACACTTACTTTTTCTACTAATGTGATAACTCAAATTTTGTCATTAGATTATTAGTGAACAACAAAATGCAAATATTAAATCAATCTACTCCTA